ATTAATGTTTGTCTCTCATTGTTTACGTGGAAGGGAAACTACTGACTGCTTTGCCAACAGCAACCACTCTATGATAATCATTTCCAGATGCTAAGCTTTTATTGACAGCATCTGAAAAAGTGTTTCCTCAGTTGTCTGGATACCACACAGTTAATTAAGATTTCTTTAATTTAATGTACTTCATTTATCTGAAGGCTCTAAATTGGCTAAATGTTAAAGCGTTGTTTTTCTGTTCCATTCATCCGTTTCTCCATGTGTGGTGGGCTGAACTCTGTCTCTCCCTGGGAAATCACTCGGTTGTGTTTTTCCAGAGTCAGCGGGTAACTGCATTAGTGCTAAAGTGACACCTCAGGCCACTAAAACGGAGTCTGGATATGAGAACCCAAACATCGGGTGTCCAACTGAGAAGCCAGAGTGCTAAAGTTCTCACAGAAGACAGCCATAAAGAAAAGAATCATCATTAGACCTCAGAATTCCTTTGAAGGGAAAATTAGTCTGATTTCATTTCATTTTATGATCTTTTTTCCACATTCAGCACTTGAAAATGATCACAAGAAACAAATAATATAACTAAACATGAGGCTGCTTTTACCTGCTGGTATCAATTCTGTACAAAGACTTCTTATTTGTTTAAGGTCATATTCTAAGTAAAGTGTGTAAACCAGGTCAGACTTAAGGAATAAAAATGTGAAGAAATTAACTATAGCCATTTTCAAATAATCTGATAAAAGAATAAAATAAAATAAAGCCTTCAAATCCATGCTTACTATGCATTTAGTGCGGTGATTAATTAAAAATATTTTTATAATAAAATGAATGAAAAATATTTGGCACTCCTTACAGTTCCTAGTCTGTGTTTCCCTAAGGTGTAACTATGATAAAGCTAAAGATGCTAATTCCTCCTAGCATTGCTTTATGAGGACAGTGGTAGCTTATCAAAATGTCTTACACATTTTCTTTACTAACAAACAAGGAATTTGGTTTTGGTTACCAACAGTTCAAACAACCACAGTATGTAAAATTAATTAATTAATTAATTGAAAAAAAAATATTAAAAGGGACAATATAAATATAAGGATTATAGCAGCATGTAAAAGTTTCTGTTTTCTCTGTTCATCTTTTGTTTTGTTTTTTATAAATAAATAAGGTAGGTTTTAATAGTTAAAGCTCCAGAGTAATTAATTTCCATCAAAGTCTCAGACTCAGTATCAGACTTTGAGGTTTCCATTGTGTTCCTCATAGAGTCAGCTAGAGAGAATAAACTGTCTTTGTGTCATGTTGTTTTCGGGCTCCTTGGTGCCGAGCCGAAGGTAAACGTCTAAACCAGCCAGGATGTGTGGGGTCGGCAGAGATGTGAACTGCTCTATTTTTGTCCCTACACTCGTACAGGAGGGAAGGTCAGAGCCGATGATCCTCTCTGCTGATCTAATTGTTCATTGTTTAAAACTGTCCTGTGTTTTTAGATGAGCCAAACTTCACAGACATGGATGTGTGTAAAAAGGCTGAATGGCAGCGGTGTGGAGGATGGACAGCAGCTCCTGTGGGAGGTTATACTTCCTGAGTTGCTACAGGAAGTTTCCGTTGGGCCTTCATTCAAACACGGCCTCTGTGAAGACCTCCTCAGGTTTCTGAAGAGGATGGTGCTCAGGAACTGGAAGTGGTCCAATGATGACACTGTGTTTTTGAGGGTGGGGGTGTGTCTGTGTGTGTGTACCTGTCTAGCTGTCAGAGTGAGGACCATTTTTCCACTTTAACCATCAAATTGAGTACCAGTTGTTGCAAAGTCAGGACGTTTTGCCAGTCCTAACATGCTATTTTGCTAATGTTAGGTTTAGGGCTAAGGTGACAATTGGTTAGGGTTAGGGTGAGGTATGCATTGGTAATGGTTAGGTTTAGGGTTGGTTTTAGAGTTAGGGCATAGAAAGGGTTTTAACTGAAAATCAATGGAAGTCAACACATGGTCCTCACTACGATAGCAGAATGAGTATGTGTGTGTGTGTGTGTGTGGGGTGGGACTCTTCTCAGAAAGTGTAAAATATTTAGAAAAAGTTTCAGTTATATGTCATGATGTAACATTTTTTTGTTGTTGTTGTTTTTACATTGCCAAATACATGTACTGCAAATAAAAAACTCCTGATTAAATGATGGATTACTTAATATTTCAGCTACTGATTATCATAATAAAATTAAAGGAATTCATTTCATCTTTTAACACATCCTCAGTAAGGCTTCTCATAAGTGTGAATGACACTGCCAATAAAATAGCTTAGATAAAAGTTACTTAATCTAAAGAGAAAAGAAGAAATCAAGCTTTTTTAAATCAAGTTTTTTAAATTAGGACCAAACTATCACTGATGGTTCATAGAGAAGTTTAACTCTAATGTACAGGGCGGCTACAAAGCATTAGAAAACAGTTTAACAATACCACAGGATAAAATCAGATCTGTCAGACAGAAAAAAATTATATATATATATATATATAAAAAAAACTAAGATATTATGTTAAAAATGAAGAAGTGGGGAATCCCTCCAAACCCAGCGAAACACTCATAGAAAACAGTGTGGGCTTAGAAAACACATCAAAAGATAACAGTAGCTGAGTAATACAGTATTCTAAAAAAAAATCTTATAAACCCTTAACTTTCCTGTAAATTTCCCCTGTTTGCAAAAATGTTGATTAAACTGTATTAAAATTAACATCCAATGGTTGAGAAAGTCTCATGGTAAAGAGGCACTGTCAGCATGGTGTCAGCCTGATTAGGGTCTGCAGACGAGCACACCAGGTGAGAAGAAGGAGGCTGTTCCAGATAAGCTCCGTCAGAGCAGGAAGATTTGTCTAGACAAGCTGTAACCTCATTAGCATCCAAGGAGCAGAGATGAGCCACAGATCAGCTGATTCAATTCTTACATGTGTGGTAGATTGCATATTGAAAAAGCTTCCAAAGACCCTTCAATCTTATCATGATAAAGCTTTTGATAAAATCCAGTGATCACATCAAACAGGCTGGTAGTAGGAAATAGAAGTTAATCAACATTCAATATGTCCGATTAGGTGGATTCTGTTGAGAAAAACTATTAGCATTGTTAGACTTATATGGTTTTATAAGGTAATTAAAAAGACAATTATTATACCACAAAGTATAACACAGATGTGAAAATGTACGGAGCCTGGTGAAAAGATTTTTTGACACTATGTCAGGTTATAAAGTGGAAGGAATTACACTATGACTTTGTCTTCAGCTCCCTTGAATCAATACTTTATAAACCAACTTTCTCTGCATTTCATTTAAGTCTTTTGAGAACAATTCTTTCCAGTCTGGTTATTCTTTCAAAATGACTCTAGCCTGTTCAGACTGGATGGGCAGGTCAGGACTTTGACTAGGCCAGTCTAAAACATCATTATACTTTAATTTGACCTTTTAGGTCAGACTGTAGGTTTAGGGTTGATTTCCTGGACTGTCCACCACACTGCATTTTGAATATAGGCCAAAAACTATAATCCTATGAAGCTACCCCCCCCACAGCACTAGGAGGGAGTATTGGAACGGGTGTTTGCGATACGATACGTGTCACAATGCTTGGATCACAATATATTATGGCGATATTACAATATCACTATATATTGCAATATTTTCCTCAGCTATCAGAATTTAATGTATTGACATAAAAGCAAGTATATGAAATGATTTTAGTGAACGTTAAATACAATACATGCAAATCATTTTAAAAAATGCATATTAAGTAGAAAATTAAATTCTAATGGGTAAATTATCTTTTATTTGGCAGTAGAAAACAATGTAACATCTGAAAGAAATGTATCAAAGATTTAGGGCTGTAGATCAAAATTAGTTTCAATCCTTATATACAACTGTAAATAAAGCATCACAATTATATATTTTTTTCTTTTAATTGAAAAAAAGGTTGTATTTTGATTTTGCTTCACATTAATTTGTGCAGCTGTGTTCAGTAAGGAGTGTGAATAACTGTTTAAGATTCACAACCTGCAACCTTGATGGAGGTGCAGTAACAGCAAGGAGCTCACTGGTTCACTTGTTGAAAATATGTGCACTTGACTAATAGTTATAGGAGTAGGTTGATTGCAAGTTGTGACCTTTTTGGGTAAATTCTAATATGTTATGTTATTAAGTAATAATACTGGAACTGTAGGTCAAACTCATGCATACATAATTGTAATAAATTATGGAGAATAGATCTTCTTTAAGAATATTTTCAGGACTCATATGCGTCTACTGTTTTCCTTTGGGCCTATATCTAAAAATAAAACACCAGCTTTTTAAAAATCATCCAATCAAATTTTTACATACTAATAGGAAATCTAACTTCAAGTAGGAAAGTATTGCATTGCAAATACACTTCTTTAAATAAACTGTGATACCAGTTCACACACAAAGTTTAGACTGTGGGAGAGTGTTTATATCTGTCGATGAATCAAACCCACATAGCTTGTTTTAGGTTAGTATAGTTAAAGTAAAATCATCTTGAGCTTTCTCTTTACCTTGAAGACATCTGGAGTGGCATCAGTCATCTGGAATGCATTTGTTGTATCAACATGTTTTCTCTTTAGTAATGAAATGAAATGTTTTAAAGACGTCACCCACTTTTCCCCATTAAAACTCTCAGACTTTTTTCAGTATTGCAGATCTGCAAAGTGGGGATTTATGGAGTTTGTGGAGATGTGGCTGTGTGTTTCCAGGGGCAGCCACAGGTGTGAATGCCATGTGACTGAGGTCAAGAAGGGGAAACTGAGAGTGTTCAGCTGTCCGTTTAAATCATTGCGGTAGAGGAGTATGCTGGAGACCTACCAAGGAAATGTGTACCGTCAACGTAGCAAAGACCTCGCTTAGCAACAGAATCTTTAATGTGTGTCTGTGTGCGCACAGACCTTTTTAAGGAAATTCAGCTTTTCTTCCTGTGCACGGTTCACCGAACCCTGCTGCTTTAGGTGAACAGGTTTAATTCAAGCACACCAAAATGTTGACCACATCTGAAAACGTCTTTATTTCCTTTCAAGTGTACGGTATTGCTCCACTTCATAATAGTGCAAAATTCAACATAGTAAAGTTTCATAAATAGCAAACATATAAATAAACAAATATCACAACATCGACCACAAACTTAAAAAAGGGTTACAGTCACAATAAAATTGCAAAATCAAAACTAAGAAACTGAATAATAAATGTACATTTCATTCCACACGACAAAGGCTTTGAGTCTTATGTGAATTTGTGCAGCTTTTTAACTCACTTTACAGAATAAATCACATTTTTATAAGGGCATCAACGCTCCAATTCTACCTTTGCACACTAATGAATATGGAGAAATGAAAAATAATAAAACAGATCAACTAAATCCTTTAAAATAAGGAGAAAAGACAACTTCTTAGAAGTCTGGAATGGTATCACTGCACTACACATGAACTGAACTCAGCTATGACATCCGACTAGACCTAAAGGGTTTGAGGGGAATACTTCAGACAAAGCAGGTTTTCATTGTAACATTTATGCGATCGGAACGCACACCGTCGTTTCAGCTTCGTTTGAAAAAAGTAGAACCTAAAACATGAGCTAAACACAGTTTAAAAACAGATATGGATCAATTTCAAAGTGGAGAAAGTAAACGACAGCATCCACCTTTCAAGCCTGGCTATCCTGAGGAGTAAACAATGCACCTATACGCGTTTTGAAAAAGAATTTAGGTAAGAGACAATAAATACAATCAGATATACAGTGAGGTACAGGGTCATGTGGCAGTGAATAAACATTAAGAAATGCAAAACACAGCAAGCAGTCCACAATCCCAGACCCACACAGTCCTCTCTCAATCTCTCAATCTTCTTCCCCATTTCCGTCCATGACATGCACGTCACACGCCTAAATAAATAATAAAACACTCTGAAATAGTTGGATCTGTTTCTTTCTCTTTAAAACAGAATATATTAGATCTTATAAATACATATACTTCTGTATTATTTGTCATTTTATATAAATAAAGATCCAAACTCATTTACAGTTCTGAGGGCAAAGCCTGTTATTTGTATCCATGCTTTCTTGCAGTGCTTTTAAACATTGCTTGTTACTGCCACCTAGCGATGCACAGTGGCACCACATCTACATTTCTCTCTTTTTTTTTTTTTTTTTTTTTTTGGAAGGAGGAGAATCTGTGCTGAGAAGGAAACATGCATGGTACAACCACTAAAAGGCTACATTCCAAAAGTAAAATCGTTCGGCATCCGTCTTTTTTTTAATATATATATATATTATATATTATTGTGAAAAACTTCTGACGTTAAAAAAAAGAAAAGCTGTGCAGAAAACTACGACATCTAACCCAAAAGTAACAGCAAACTTTACAGAATCAGGGTGTTTTATGATATGTGTTTCAAACACTAATCATGATGGGCTGCACCCTTTTGCTTTTTATTTTATTTTTCAAGAAACAGGTTTTGAATGATTGTGATATACGGAGAGGGGCTCTGAGGCAATCCAGACCAGATACGGTGCAGTTCAGAGCTAATAGCAACGTGGCAAAAAGAGACATCTAGAAATAAGGGGAAAACTTTAGTATAAATATTTCATAATTGCATTGTTATATTATTTTCAAAAACTCCAATGTATTTAGACTCGTATTCTATCGTCATATTTTATCCTGTTTTACCAGGTGCTAATAATTCTGGAGTGTACTGTACCACATAAGGAGGCCTCAGTAGTCCTCCCTCCCTCTATGTGCTGCCTGCAGTCCTCCTCCTCCCCTGCTTCTCACACAGAACAGTTTCGTCTTTTCCCAGATCCAGTCTGGGCTGTAGCAGCGGTGGCCGAGGTCAACCAAACGGTGACCCCGTGTCAAAGGCTGGTGGAGGACACCGATAGGGTGGGGGAGGAAGGCGGCGGAAAGTTCAGGAGCTCCAGCACCGCTACGCCCACGCTGCTGCGGCGCGTGAACATGCAGGAGGCCGCAACCCACTTGTTGCTGCGCGGGTTGTACTTTTCGATGGAGTTGAGACTTGAGCTGCCATCGTTGCCTCCCACGGCGTATAACCACCCGTCCATAGCCACCAGGTCATGAGTGCTCCTAGGAGATAAGATGTATGATGACTTGTAGATCATTCACCTCCTGGTTTTTATAAATACTTTCATTACAGCCCATATTATTTAGTCACGACTTGCCAGGGTATTTATTTTCCTCTCACAGACTGCTTCACCTTTTATGCTTTATAAAAGCAACCTTAAATTAATTTTAAAAAATTTATTTAACAGAACGATGCAGAGTAGTGTATAACTATGAAGAGGAAAGAAAGGATTCCTGATTTTATTACATTTTCAGCAGATTAAACTAAAGATGCATATATATATGCATATATATATATATATATATATATATATATATATATATATATATATATATACATATATATATATATACGCATCTTTCTTTAGCTTAACCTGCAGAAAATGCAATAAAATAAGGAATCCTTTCTGACCCATTTCACTGCAGTATCCCTGAGTATAATCTAATGTGACCCACTGCCTTCAAAAGGTACACAATCATAATAGATCCTTCCAGTGTGCATTTTAACCTCAGTATAAATGCAGCCGTCCCTGGAGGCTTTGGGAGGTTTGATAGAGAGCATTTGGAAACAACAAGAACAAAAAGCATGAAAGGACAGAAACGCAGCAGGTCAGAGAGGTTTAACACAGAGATGCATCATAAAACCCTAATGTTATCTGAGCGCAACAGCAGCCTGGTACTACTCTGTCATTTGATATCAGTTGCAAAAAAAGAATAGAAAATTAATCAGTCAGATATAATTGAAATAGTTTGAGCCTGAATGGTTATTTATTTAGAAAAATGACTGGATTTGTTTCATTGCATCCATCTATGATTCAATGTTGATGCAATATCGGCCACAAAACCATGGATCACATTAAAACCCCAAGCTTCTTGAGAAAGTTTTCTTTGGGAAAGGGAAACCGTCTTTTTTTTTTTTTTTTTGGTTTTATCTGCTACACATCAGTCAACCATTAGCATGCACCCCACAAATCTATCCTTCATGGAAGAGTGGGAAAAAAGCACCACTACTGAAATAAAGTGGTTAGATGTAAAATTTGTAGCCACCTACAAGCCTGGATACAGCAAACATGTGGAAGAAGTGCTACTTCTGGCCAATATGCAACAGCTCATCAGAGATATAAGGAGGAGGAGAGAATGTTGGAAGAAAACCTCTTAAGAGTCTTTGGTGGAGGGTAACCTTCCAGCAGGGGAATGAGTCTAAACATGCAGTCAGTGCAGCTATGAAAAACCTAAGATCAGAACATGAACAATTTGTTTAATGGCTCTGAAAGAGCTAACCGATCTATTTGGCGATCTGAACCCAAGATGACCAGCCCTCCTTAAAGCAGTGTGAGGCTTAAAGTGTTTTGCAAAGAGGAACGATCAAACATCTCTCCATTTGCAAACCCAAAGCTTGGATTACAGCAATAGGCGTTCAACAGGTATTTGTCTTTCGACTGTTACATGAAACTCTTGGTAAAATGTTTTATTTTTTTACCTATTGTAAAATGTCTGAGTTTTCAGTGGGATTTTTGGATGACATAAAAGGAGACTGATGAGAACTAATTAAGCTCTCAAAGACAAACATGAATTATCTATAAGCTGTTATCAGGTTTTCCGTCTCTCTCTCCGATGTCCTCCTAAAGCATTGCTGTGTCTATAGATTTCCCTCCATCTGAGACAACATGTTGCTGTAAATGTGAGCACGCCGGCCTCTTCTGCAACTCTTCATCTTCAAAGTCATAAGAAAATTATGTATCTGAGAAGGAAATCATTTGATGTTTATCCCTTAAGAAGGCAGCAGACAAAATCTAAGGCCCTAATTTAAGAGAAATAGTCTTATCCAATATTTTCTTTACAAAGTTAAAATTAAAGGGAAGCCTTTTAATTTTTGTATAAACCTCCCTTAGATATATATCCATTTGCTTTAGGTCATCTGAACAAGCAGAAACACCACATTTTCCACCACAGGAACACCTCGGGGGTGCGTCCTCTTGTCATAATCTATAGGAGCTAAACTTGTTAAAGACTGAAGTGATCATGCAGATTCTTTTAAGTAAACTTTGTGAAAATTATTATCAGAAAAATTGCCTCTTCATTGTTAAAAACAAACATTTGATTCCTTTGTTGCTTGGTATTTTAGCTACAGGCCAACAGCAAAAATGTTTAAAAGTTACACTTGACATGGATTTAAATATCCATTTTTTCAAAACTTTTTTGGTGTTTGTCCTCGCGACTCAGACTAGGAAAAAAAACTACTTCCAGATTTTAATCTTTGTAAAATAATTTGAAGCAGAACTGACAACAATAACATGTAGAGGGTCTCAGTATTCGACCAAAAAGAGTAATTCAGAAAACAACCTGGAACAAACATTTTCCAAAATGGCGGAAATTATGCTGGACTTCAGGGGGCTGAGATGCATCGAATCAATTTCAATGTTCATAGCAGTGTAAAGAAGGGAGAAGATGTTTTCCCATGCATCCACATTTAGGCTGATCACTCAACTGTACAGCGAGTGTAAGAGAAGGTCGCCTCATTTACTTTTCTATTCCTAGAAAAGTGACGATAAAGTACTACTCTGTTTTAGTTCACTCCCAACTTGTTTCCTACTCAGTTCCAAATAAAGCTTTTTTTACTTATTTAATCCAAAAAAAACAACATCTACTAAAGAGATGGCTGTTTGGGGAGGTTCGATAAATTGTCCAAAGCTGTCACATAAACCAAAGACTGAAGGATTTATTGGACTAGATCGATTAAAAAGGTTTTGAGGGATAAAAAGCTGGGAGCTTTAAAATGCCAACGCATGTTCAGCTGGTTCTTGTTGTCAGTTGAAGCCCTACAAAGGCAGAAGAACTGGGTCATCTTGACGGTTCAGCTCGGTAGGGTGTGCCTCCTCGGGTTCAGTTTCCTAAAAGAATCCAATTTATTCATCATCTCCCTCACATTCTTTTTGGCCGAAAACAACTAAACTAAAAAAAAAGAAAAAAAAGAAAACACTTTGGAAATATCTAGATTTGTAATTTGATCTGTTATGATGGACAAATGTGGTTTTAAGCAGCCCTGCAGGTGATGGACTGCAAAGAACATTACCAATGTTAAAAGCAGAACCACCTATATAAACAAGGACGTATTTATTTGTGTTCCATCGATTAATCCATAGAAGATCCCAAATAACTATTTCTCTCTTTCTTACGGCAGTGTTTATTACATTAAACAACCAGAAACTGAACTAAATAATGATGAAGGTGGGACTTCTCGCTCATCGCCTGCGCTGTTTGTGCTGCTGCTGAAGGCTGACCTGCGTATGTTCATGGGGGCGACTCCTTCCCAGGTGTTCGTCTTCGGGTTGAACCGCTCCACTGAGTTCAGACAGCTGGTGCCGTCGTTGCCTCCCGCCACGTACAGCATGCCATCCAGCACGGCCACCCCAGCGCTGCTGCGGCGGCTCAGCATGTTAGCGATGGCCGTCCACGTGTTGCTCTGTGCGTCAGAGAGGTGATGTATTTAGTCTGGAAAGCTTGAGTGAAACTGAAGCTGCCAACATCTCTGAGGATACATTTCAGAGCAGTTTACCTGCGGGTCGTATTTCTCCACTGTAGCCAGATGTGAGGAGCTGTCGTAGCCTCCCACCGCATATAAGCTCCCGTCTGCAGGGAAAAATGGGGAGTAAACAGAGAACATAAATATTAGCAGAGAAGAACCAAGGCAGCAACTCCCCCTGTACGACTGCTGTTAAAATAAAACTTAATAATAATGAAAAAAGATCCTACCCAGAGTTGCTACTCGTACATATCTCCTTCTGGTACTCATGGCGGCGATTGATGTCCAGGTGCTGGTCAGAGGGTCGTAACGCTCTGCGCTGCAAGGGGAAAAAAGATCAACATTTATTAAAATTACTGCGTCAGACCAACAATAAATCCACTGAAGATAAACATCTGATTGCCTTTCCAAATATTCACACAGCCCGCAGCTGTCTTTTGCATGTTGGTTGATAGGATTTTAGTGATAAACGTTAGTTTTAAATCTGTAGCAGTCTGCAAAGTGTGGGACTTATTTTCATTCAATGCCTCACTGTCAATAACCAACAGAGCCACCAAACACGTCACTTCAGGTACATTTCTACCAGCTTCAGCAAACTTCTTCTGCTGCTTTGCAGAACAGCTCAAGCTCTGCTGTATTGGTTGGATGGCTTCACCATAGCCACCATGTTTTTGGGGGAGATAGACAAAGTTAGCAGCCAGCAGAGCTCTCATCCTGAGGCAGTGCATATCATTCCATGCTGTACTGAAGTCAGTGATTACCAGATTCAATCAGCATGTGAAATGTGCAACATGGTTGGGGTAAACACACTGGAAAAGATCTATAGCAAAATAAAATAAACTATAGACCACCATCACATCTGGGTCTATCAGATTCCATGCTGATGATCCCTGCATGCACCCCTCTCATGGTTGAGAACCTCAACCCAGCTGCACCATGACAGCTTAGGGCGATGCTGCGCTAACGGAGGAGTTCAACCACTTCTTTGCATGCTTTAAGGTCTAAAGACCCGAGGCTGCTGAAAGACACAAGAATCAGCCTTAGGTGTGGGAGCATGAGATGAGGTGCAAACTGAGAGCAATAGACGCCAGGAAGACATGCAGGACCAGATGATTTGACAGGGATGGTCTTCACTAAAATCTTCAATCAGCCACTTGCTGTGTCCGAATGTCTGTCCTAACCACTATATAGGGCACTCCATAGTGGCCATTTTAAATTAGTGTCTGAATGTCTAGTGTATGAAAAAGTAGCGGACTCAAAATTTTCCACAATGAACTTTGAAAAGTAGTGATCATCCATGGTCAGTAGCGTGCAGATATATCCCGAAATGCTTCGCGAGGAGAGCTCTTCTAGCAAAGCGTCACAGGATTTGTTGGTATAGTGGCCCGCTGTCGCTACCCGACAACGGTGACAAATAACAAGATGGAGCAGGCACCATGGGGAGCAAAAAAGTAGCCATCATCTGGCCAATTGGTCACCATAGTTCACCATAAAGTCCACTATATTGTCCCCACTCTATATAGTGATTGAGGGATTTAGGAGTTAGGGCGGACGTTCTGACAGAGCCACCGTCTCAGTCCTTCATCCCACCATGCCTGAAGTCATCCACTATTGTTCCACTGCCTCAAAGAACCATCATCATCAGTCTAAATTTCTACAGACCTGTTGCTCTCACACATGTGGCCATGAAGTGGTCAGTAACTGGTCTGATGCCACATCATCCTGCCCCCCATCCACATTTGACCCACTTCAGTTTGCTTACAGAGCAGTTCGACAGAATACAGAGTGCTCCTCACTGTCTCCCACCTGGAACAGCAGGGGTGCCATGTCAGGCTGCACTTTAGCTCTGCCTTCAACACCATACTCCAAGATTGACTGATAACAAAAACTTATGTATATTGGACTCCCTGTAACCACCTGCTACTGGGTCACAGACTTCCTCTGAGTTGGCCACATCTCTCCACAGCCCTCAGCATCACACCAGCTCCCCACAGGGCTGTGTGCAAAGTCCTCTGCTCTACATTCTATGCACCTATGACTGCATCAGCCGCCACCCAGAAAACGTTAACTTCATATTCACAGATGACCCAACCTTAGTGGGACTCATGTCAGGAGGTGACGAGATGTACAGGATGTCCAGAGGCTGGTCGGGTGAAGTGCAGGGAACAACTCGGTCCTCAACACATCCAAGACAGAGGAGGTGATTCAGAAAGAGAAATACTAATCTGCAGGCCATCTGCTTCAAGCTCCTGGGTGTGCAGGTAGATGCAGACCTCCAATGGAGACCCAACTGCGGTTTGAGATGGAGGCCCAACAGTGGCTGCACTTCCTGAGGATCCTCAAGGAGCTAGACTTGAAGAGGGAGGTGCCATCTGTCTTCTACCACTGCTCCATTGAGAGTGTGTTGACATACTGCATCTCTGTGTGGTTCCAGCTGCACCGTGCCACAAAGGAAGGCACCAAGGAGGGTTTCAACACTGCCCAGGGGACCAATGGCCACCTTCTATCCTCCCTACAGGACCTCTACAGTGCCCACTATCTCAAGAGAGAATGCAGCATTCTAGGAGGTTATATATGTTCTTTATGTGCTTTGATTACTAATGTTCGCCAACAAGCCTTTAGAGATCAGCTGGATTTTAACAGAGATTAAATTACAAATAGGAAAACAAGCTTTTTAATTAGGCCTCTTCTGAAGGCCTTTGGTTGCACCGGATTTTATGTCAAGGTATCAAAGGAAACTAATTCTGAAAATCCTTTTTCTGTCTTCTGGAGAGTTTTAGTTCCAATATGGACGAACTGAGAAATTCTCAAGAGATATATATATTTTTTGCAACGTGCTGTAGATTCAAAATACTAAGGAGCTGTATTCATCACTGTGTAGGTGTGTGCGTGTGTGTGCACCTGTTCAGACAGGAAGCTCCATCATAACCCCCAGCAGCGTACAGCAGGCCATGCAGGACAGCTACACCCAGGCAACTCCGCCTTGTTCCCATGGAAACCTCGGGCTGCCAGGAGTTGGTGATGGGATCGTAGGACTCCACCGTTGCGAGGTCTGAGGTTCCATCATACCTAATGGGTAAGAAAGTCCAGGTGATCAGTAAACATTGTGTACTGCACTGATTATATGTTGTAGGATCATTAGCAGAAGAAAATATCAGACAAGGCAGTAAAAAAAACTTAAATTCAATACAGATATTTCTGTTTTTATAAGAAACCAGAGTTTATGTGTAGATCTGTGAAACCCGGGAGGAGCAGCCATGTTCAGTCTGAGCCATAAAACAGCAGACAGTTGTTTTAGGGAGGATAAATAATGACCTCTGCTTTAGCAGTGCTGTAAAGATAAGTCCCCAGGTCTTATATGTCCTGGCACCACTCAGTGTTTGATTTAAAGGTCAACTTGGTGAGTTTTATCACTCACCCTCCGACGGCATAGAGTCTGTTCCCTATGGCCGCCACACCGACTCGTGCACGCCGTGTGGACATGGATGCCACCATGTGCCAGCGATCCGTCCTTGTGTCGTACGCCTCGCAGTCTCCGTGGATGGCGAAAAGGCTCCCCCCGCCTGCAAAAAAAAGATTTATTATACATGCATGAAGTAAGACAAACCAGAGATGCGTTTTTCCCCCTACATGTTCCCAAATGGGTGAATTCAGGGACACACTGACCGACGGCAAAGAGCACGGGGCTGGCACCCTCACAGCGCCGAGGGCGCGTCCGGCTGTTGCTCAAGACGCCCCTCTGCTCAGGCATCAGGTGGTACTTCAGAGCCTCGATCAGCAGATCTTTGCACTCTGAGTGGTGACGCACTAGCAGCTCCGTGTCAACGTTGCTCATCAGGAAGTCTCGTCTCAGCAGAGGCAGCCGCACACACTTCATCAGCTGTGGAAAAAGAACGATATAGAGGGGAAAAAAAATAAACACATGGGTTGGTGTTTATTGTTGTGGGATGGATAGCAGAAAACCCTTACTTACCCACGGCACATGCTGCCTCCGTCCATCTATGTCATGTTTCACCCAGCTCAACACAGCGCGGTACACCTCCTCCTCAGACGGCACGTTTAGATTATCACTGGAGATCAGGTCAAGGACCTGGAAAAACATGACAGGGAGGTAAAATTTAGACAAACACAGCTCCTTTACTAATCTGAAATAACATTCAGATAAATTACATAAAAACCCTCCTCCTGCTGGGGGAGTATAGCTACACCACTGTCTGCTCTCAAGTCTTTTGCATCATCAAACAGGATTATCTGCTTTCCATCATAAATCAGCAACCCTGTGCTTTCCAAACAAAAAAAAATCCCCACAGCATGATACCGCCACCACCTATAGTGGACAAATAGCTGATCCTTCAATAGATTCAGCGCTTTGGATCCTCCAGAGTTATACATCAATTCAAACTGAATATCTTGCAGTTTGAGGTTTTCTTGTGATTAAATATAAACAAGCTAAAGAAACCCTCCTTATCTTTGCTCCATTATTTTAAAGAACGACTCCAGATTTGATGCAGTTATTTGATCACACATAAAATCTTCTGTATTTATGTTATGGTCTCTGAGCCTTTGCTGCGATTTATTTAAAGCTGTGATTCTTCAAGCACATAAAACGGCGGTCCGAGTGGCTGGCTGGCACCGTTCCCAGGTCAACGCTAAGCTAACAGGGTCTGAAGGGAACAGAGCAGCCAGCTGCTGCCGTGGCCACCGTCCTTACTGGCCGCCACTGAGGAACACAGCCTCCTCTAATCCACCAACATAAAACGTCTTCAAAATGGCATCCATGTGATCCTGGATCAGCGAGCCATCAGCCACGCTGACTAATCACTGTCACACCTTCTTGATTTCTCCCCCACAGAACATGAAAAGAAATATGGGCATATTTCACAGCACTGTGAGCTCACAGTCTTTCAGTAGAGAGAAATAAATCCAGACATGCAACAGTTTGGAAAAGCTGTGGAAAGAAGAATGGACCTGGAGAAAACAGTAGACCTTTAATCTGCTTTAACGTTGCCTTTTTAAGTCTAAGGCCTTTGGAGGCAGAAACATTGTCAGGCTTTGGCTCCACTGCTGCACGAGCGGCGAAGCTAATGGGAGCAGCTGTGTGCTTTAAAGCCACCTTCATCTCCCCTTTGATCACAAAGACCAGAAAAATTAACCTTCTTTATTTGAAGTTATTCCTGCAGGGCTTTTAGTGCTTTAGATATGATGGAAAAAAACACCCTGCAGTAGAACTGTGGAATAAAATGAATTAAGTCCAATCAAGGAGAATTTATCATCAGCAGCTTTTAACAAATTAATCCTGACAGGAAATCCACTTCACTCCCAGAAAGCATTTCTTTTTATTTCACTCAAACAAATTGTTTCCCAATACTAAAAAAGAAAACGAAGATGTGCTTCTTCTGATGAAAGAGACCCCTGGTTATAAATCATCATATCAATTTAACCAAAGCGTGCCTTTTATGACTAAATATAGCAGCAGCAGCTGAATCAAAAACACAAAGACCGACTACAGCAGGTCACATTTATTACAACCGAGCTCAGATTTGATTTATGACATCACAGTTGGGTCATTACAGCCCACGCTACGTTTATACAGCTGCAGCATGGATGAATAAAAGACCTTTAAAGTATGAACAATTATTAACAGGCAAGAAGATCTTCCAGAATAAAACGGTTGCAATAAATGCGTGGTAAATGTTCCTTATTTACACAGACATATCTGAAAGGGAACATTTAGAGGTTGACCTGCAGAAAAACATATCAGCCTCAGCTATCTGGCACAATACTGGACTAACTGCATAAGCTGAAATCAAGGAATAACTCCATAATGAAAACCTGACCTAAATGATCAAAATAAATAGATTAAAAAAATTATCACTGAAACCTGAACACAACAATGAACACGATGAAAGGACTCCGGACTCTTTGTCTTTCCTTATTTAACCAGTAATCTGTGAGTAGAGGAGCAGCAACTTAACACACAAATCTATAAAACATAAATGGAAAATACTTTATTAATGCAAAAGGGAAATTAAATGTTGAAATACAAACATTTATTATTTTATCCAATAGAAAATGGCTTTAGATGATCCGCTGTTTCGCAGCTTTCCAGGGTGACCTGCTAATCTGAGAAACAAACTAGCGGCAAAAACCGACGACTTGTATAATCTGCAGACGCTTCTCAGGCCTTACTAATACAAATAATAAACCGATGGCTAAATCCCTTAATATCGGTCTAATCTGGTGACAATACTGGAGCCAGACTAGTAACTCTTACTGATATGTAGGAGGCGTACACATAGTTGTTTGCTCTATAAACAGTAGAGCAGCTGTGAAAATGTCACTGGCTTTGCCTAATTACCACTTCCAGGAGCAGCACTGCTGCAGCCGAGCCCAAACAGCAATAAGTGGCGGTTCAGCTGAGTGGATGCAGCAGATGGACTGGACACCAGGCAATGGAATGGAAAGGATCCAGCTAATGCTCAGAGAACAGAGAGGGTGTAAAGAATGCCACGTCTAAGACACACCGCTATCCCCCACCTGTACTTTACCTCCACTGTGACAGGAAAGATGGCTAGAGCTAAGAAAAAATGGCAACCCTGGAAGAAAACCTGTTGGAGGCCGCAAAAGCCTTGAGATTTGGGTGGCGGTTCACAGAGCAGCGGCAAAATTAGATTCCTGTGTGAGAATAGCCTAGTCAAAGTCCAGCCCTTAAACCAATCAGGAATATCCAGGAAAACCTGAAAGGTGATGCTAACAAATGCTCTCCATGAAAGTCAGGGTAGGAGGAGAACAAATGCTGCCTTTTCTTCCACCTCACAGTTTTCCTCCTTGATTTGTTTATTTAAAGATTCTAATAAAACAAATTCAAGTTTGTGTTTTTAAATGTAATAAAACGCATAATTCAAGAACATACAAAGGCAATATTTTTGCTAAGCATTGTAACATTACACATTGTAGGAGCTTTACTCCCTACAATAAGAATACATTATTAAAATTCATGAGCATGAGTCAGCAGAGCAAACACAGCAGCCTACCTGCTTCAGCGGCAGCAGCATGAACTCCTCTGTTTTGGACACTTCCACAAAGTGCTGCAGCACGTACTTGTGCGCCGACTTGAGCAGGTCGCTGCAGGAGTGCGTGTCTGCAAAGCCTCGGATGCCCAGGCAGTTGGAGGGATCCAGCTGACTGAGGAGGAACTTGCAGCATGCGTCCCTCACCCCGTTGAGCTGCAGCAGGCTGGCGGCTGGGAGCAAGGTCTATCCACAAGGTGATATACGGTTCAAGAACAGTCCTTTTTATATTCATGGTTAATTGACTCAAACTGAAAACTTCGACCCCACCTGGACGTTACCTTCCCCGACCACAATCTCTGCTGTGTAGGCGTACTGGACGAGCTGCTCCAAAGCTTGGGAGTCGATGTCGTGCAGGGTCACATGAGTCTGCCGGCTCTCAGACATCTCATCTAAACGCCCAAACAGAACCAAATGAGCCACAGAGCAACCAGCAAGCCGTTACTCTGCCTGATCCAGATCAACTCCCTCCTCAGTCATGTTGGCATCTGCTAAGGTACACAACCCTGCAGCTGAACGTCAGCACAGATAAGTTTCTTCCCTTCTACGTGATGAAATATTTGGACCTAGTGATATTTTTCCAACATTCTTAAAAATTAACAGAAGAATGCAAAGGGAAAAAAAACTGTTCTCAATATGATTAATGGGGTGAAACAAACGGATTTTTTAAGGCTTCGTTTTTAACGGCCTCTTTAAATCAGATGTTTACCAGCTCGGTTTGCAAAATAATAGGAAGTCAGAGTCTCCACAGCAAGAACTCTGACCACCTGCACCTCAGACAGCACCAGCAAGGAGGAAATGATAAGCTGTAAAGGATGTTGGGGCTTTACGTCTACAACTAAAGGAAATACTTGAGGTTTGCTGTCAGCGTTTAATGCGTCTCAACCCTCTTGATGTACATTTCAGAGGATTAAAGCAAACCGTGCCTTACATACATGTATGCCTCTTGACCTTTCTCTAATTTTTTCACGCTACCATCCTAGAGTTTAATCAATTATTGGGGTATAGCATCACATTAGTGTATAAGTGTGATGTGGAATTGAATTTAAGCTTTTTCAGACAATTAAAAATCTGAATACTGTAGCTTGTTTAGCGCTCAGCTTAGCTCATTTGACTGTACTGTTGTAATTCTAGGGCTTTAAAACCAAACATAGAAGCTAATCAAATTGCTGCACCATAAAACCACCATTTAGTCCAATCACAGCTGTGAGTATAGCATGGTATGTTTACCCAGATTTTGCAAATCTAGAAACTACAGGTGATTTAATCTACTTTTTTTTTTAAGTTCCATCAATAAAAAGACAAATTACATAAATTTCCTTTAAAAGAATACTTTCACACATCCTTTGGTGGGTGACCTTATTTAAAAAACAATTTAAGCTGTAAAACTTTCTAGTAAAATAATCACGTTTCTGGACGATGAAAATCAAACAGGCTGAATGTTTGCAGGTAGTGGTGTCACACGGTATATTAGTTTATTTGTACACATCTAAGAAGAAAAATAACTAGAAACTGACATTTTTAACAATTTTTCAAGCCAGGGAAGCCAAAGCTTGACCAACAAGCCATCCCTTTGGATTTAGGTCTAGAAAACAACATTTAAGGTGCAAATTGTTTTGGAGCTCCAATGAGGGACTGAACAGTCATTGAGAGCTTAGCATGTTGATTTATAACCTCAATCTGGTTTAAACTTTTCTCCCTAATCTGTCTGTTGCTCTCTTTTTCTCCCTTATATTTGTTCACTAATGTTCCCTAAAACCTCAGAGGCCTTTGCAGAACAACTAGATTAAATCTGGGATTATATTTCTCACATGGGGACTATTTTCTTGTCAAGCATCTCTTGGATGAATTTCAGTGATGACTATCACAGAAAAAGGGACTAAATAAAAATGCACTTTTTAATTGGTGAAAACAAACCCAAAGGTTCTGGATAATTTTGCCGTACAGTGGAGTATGAAGCAGATCATCAACTCACTGGTAAACATGGCGTGGAAATACGGGCTGCAGGACGCCAGCACCACTTTGTGCGCCTTGATTTCTTTGTTGGAAACATGAAGCACGATGTCACACAGCAGGCCACGCTGTCGCATCCTGTTCATGGAGACGAAGGAGTCGTGATAGTGCCGCTTCGAGTTGTGCGAGATGCTGTGCCCATCGCGGTTGAGCAGCTGCATGCCCCCCTCCATCATGATGCCTGGCGCTGCCGTGGTGGCTTTGTGTTTGGGCGGCACGCTGGGCAACTGAAACGGTAAGAAAACAAAGCCCCCCTTCTCTTATTAAAACCTTCTTCCATTGCTTCAGACTAGGCAGGTACTTGGACAGGTGTCCTGATCCATCATCGTTAATACAGTCACAGCAGTAGGAGCCGTCCTGTCAGATATGACACAAGTCCCCGCAAACACAACACGAGCAACAAAGTGCTGCTGGATGCAAAGTGCTGACATGAATTTATCCCAGTCCAGTTTAATTACATTTTAATTTGACAGCAAAGATTTTTATTCTTTAAGTCAGATTAATGTGGTCAGGCCCTTTATTTGATGTTCTTTTTTCATTTACAATTTCAGATTTCCTTGCAAGGCTGCTTAACATATTACTGAAATATCAGAGTGGTCACCATTGCTTTGCTATCATCAGTGAGGTGCAATATTAATAAATATTTTTCATTTACCATATCCATTAATTGCGTTAACAATTAATCTGAACTAATCTGATCAATTTTAAAACTATTTTTTTGATGAATAAATGGGGATAATTTTATAAATCCTATTGCATTCAAAAATTGCAATCTCCATCCATGCAGCTTTAATGCATTTCTACTTAACCCATGAACAGCGATCGGACCAGAGCCATCCTTTTATTCACCATGCTGTAAATACTAAGGACCTTCCACTAATTATAAGGAAAAAAAATAAACACTGGGATATTTACTTAATACCCCGACTTATAAGGTACGCCCTATCGCATATCTGTCTGCCATCTGTCAGTTGAATATTTACTAACAGGGAGTTTAGTAAAATTCTTCCTTTATCAAAAATTCACATGCTTCATTTTTAAGTCATCTAATTTATCTAGAATCTCTTTAAAAGGCAAAGAAAGCTTTGCAAGAAGTTTTGACCCTAGATTCTTTTATTGTTGTTGTTATGCATATAGACCTGACAACTGTTTTCAACAGAGTGGCTCTAAACAGTTGGGCTCCAATTTCAAGAATGATGTCTGTGTGTCTTTCTCTATCCTTAAACAATGAAAGCAACAATTCTCAATTAGTTGGCGTGCTGAAATTGAAACTTGCCTGCAATCATTTTCTTGCTTTCAATCAGGATGCAACAAACAAATATTTAACTGATGTTTGGTTCCAGAGGTATTTTTGAAAGTACTGCAGTGGATCTGTGAAACCCAGAGCGTTGCCTCAAAACACATTAAAAATAAAGCTGGAATATTTAAAAGGGAGTGACTCCAATTTCATCCCTCTCTTTTCTGGGTCACTGTTAGTTTAAGAATAGAGAAATAAACTTTATTATCATTACACTGTCACAAGCACAAAGTAGCTAAATGCATTTTGCATCTATCCAGAAGTGCTATACAGGATTTAAATATTTATTTATAAGTGCACAGAGGCTATGCATTCACTATAAATGGTATATATTTGCAGACAGTAATTGTAAGAAGCTATAAAGTTTTATGATCAACTTTAAAGTTTTATTGTTGACATACAAACTCCCAAACTGCTACGATATGTTATAAAAGACCCCAAAACCAACTATTTAAATCACATGGAAAACATGATTTTAATTCACTGGCTTTTAAATGTGTTTGATTAAATGTTTGCATCTTTATTGCCTCATTTGATCACATCTTTACCAACTATGAGATTTTTTTATTTGATTGCATTGGCTTTTCATTTATTCTAAGCTTTTGTTTTCTATTTCTTGAGTACAGCACTATTGTTTTGATACATTTTTGTCAAAATAAAGATTTATTTACAAGCAACACACTAAGACAATCTCCTCCTGAAGGACTATTGACCAGTTTGAAGTTCAAGTTTCTCATATCAGGTTAATACAACTAGGAAAAAAGGCTGTTAAATAAATAGAGATGCTATTTATTAAGCTCCTTTAACTGCATATGCTCTGGTGTCCCTCTGACATCTCAAATGTCATCACAGCTGCCTGGCGACCAGCTCAGGAGCACATTATTTCCAAAACACAATAGACCACAAAAACACCAACTGTATCCCTGAGTCAGGAAGCAATCCCCTGTCAGGCTCAGAGGAATACTGCTGCACATTGAAACATGCATATGTGCAATACTGAGCCCTGGATCACAACTAAACTAAAACAGAAATCACATGTTTTTTTTTTTGTCTCTGGTTGACACTGACAAAAACCACACGATTTGCAGCAGAATAGTTTTTCTTAGGTAATCATAGGAAACACAATCTATTTTAAATGACAGCACCCATCAGCTGCAGTTTCTTTACCGGTGTTGCGGGTATCCTTGGACACGGTGTCCTCTGATGGGAGAGAATCAACAACAGTCGCAGTCAGACTGCCTTAGCATCGCTACCATCGTCTGTCTCTTCTTTCCATATTCTGACCACAGCAGTATAGGAAATATGAAGAAAGCCTCTGTTTTGTGCTGTACTCGCTGACGTCAATGCAAAAACAAAAAAGAGCAGCACGAATCGGATCGTTAAGGTGGAGCCACAGCAGCCCAGAGTGCGGCTGGTGAAACTGCACAGACAGCTGCGATGTAAATAGGCAGGAATAAACAGGGGATAAAATAAAGCAGTAGAGCATAAGAAGCTGATGAACTAACACTGTGATTTTTAATCACGGGAAGATAACATCATACCGTCTTAAAAGCCACCTTTTGTTTGGGCTGAGTACGGAAGTGCGTTCGATATAGACTCGCAGGGCTTTCGCGAAGGGTGGAGCTTACCTTAACCGTACTATTGTTAGCGGTTGTCCGTGTCGGTTATCCCGGAGAGTCAAAATCAAACAAATGCAAACCAACTCAACCATTTAAATAGACATGTTTCTGCTGTAAAACGCAATTTAAAAATCAACGCTACACAGATATTCAACATTCCTACGTATGTTTTAAATGACAAGCCACCAAGCATGTAAAGAAACCCCTATTGTTTCCGTGTGTGCTAGCTCGCAAAGCTAGCGTCGCTTTAGTTTGTAGAATGGATAAAGCAGACGGTACTCACCCGCTGCCGCCTCCGGTGTCGATGAGACAGCGCTGTCTTTTGTCGGTTTGTAAGCTTGCCCAGGTTTGTGGTTATGTAAAACAACTGATAAATACAAAAAAAGAAAGAAGCGAAACTAATCTTCCCACCCTCGGATTATTCAATTTAAACCTCACGTGCCGCACCAAAACAGTGCAGTCCCCTGAGTGCGTAGCTTTGGCTGCTAAATATAAAGGTTGGCGTCAACGCTTCGATGGGTTTTTGTATTCCAAAGTAAATCATCACTTTAAAAAGGAAGGTTTTTTATTTCAGTCGCTGTAAGGACCAGTGTTTCATTAAATGGGTAAATTTGTATTAATTTAAATAACAAGTAACGCTGGTCGCACATTAGAAACACAAAATCAAATCTGTGGGTGCGCACGATTTCCGAGCCAGCAAGGCGGGCGGAACGCAGAATAGGCGCTATTAGAGCTTAACTCCAGCACTGGTTATGATCCTGAAATTCCCACTGGACCTCCAATAGATCCAATGGCGTAACAACACAACAATAGGCCCGTAAGCAACATTATCTGGGCCGGCCGGCCCCATATGAAGTACAACACCCCATTCGCCCCCATTAGGAAGCTTTTTCTGTTCTTCCAGCAGCTCTTCTTTCCTTTTTCTTCTTCTTCTTTTTTTTTTTAATGGCGGTTGGCAAACAACTTATAGGTGCATTACCGCCACCTTCCAGAATGGAGTATGGATCAGACAAACTATTATATTCTCCCTAAAATAGCCGTTCTTCTTAGAAAATTAAAAATACTCCCAAACACTACATCCCCAGATGACCTTTGAAACAATTCCCTTATATCTAGTTTACTTTTATTCCTGTCTAACTCTCTACACAACATCTCTCTTTCCTGAGTATATTTATTGCATTCTAAAAAAAATATGTTGGATAATTTCTAATTTCCCACAAATACAACACCCTGTATTATGCTTATTCATTATTTTAAGAGACTTTCCAACTGCAATTATTAGCAATAGATTGAGAAACTAAAGTCAGATCAATAGCCGATTCCTTACCTCTTACCAAGTCTACCCGAGTACCTACCCCGTTATTTAAAACTACCAATTCTTTTTCTTCAATGTTCTCTTCTAAAATTCCTCCATTATAATCATCTTGATCTCCCCATAAAGTGCTATGTGCATTGAAGTCCCCACACCAAACTATTTTCCCTCACCAGTGTTCTAATATTGTTTCAAATTTTATCTTTTCTATTTTAAAGATTCTATTAAGGATTGTAATAATTTACAATTTTAAGATTCCCTTCATTTGTCCAAATTTCTACTGCAATAAATTCTAAATCTGATATTATTTAGAGCTGAATGAATTTAACTTTTCCTTTTATAAATATGGCACATCCTCCTCCATTCCCACTTGTTCTATCTTTACGTAATATTGAGTAACCATGAATACTAAACTGCAATGATGGCTTGAGCCATGTTTCCTGAATGCATATTATATCTGTTTTTTTTATTTAAATTTTTAATGAAGCCTTTAAATTCCTGACCATTTGCTAATAAACTGCGAGTGTCCCATTGTAATATTAGAGTTATGTAATGATTTGAGAGGCCTCATTTTCCAGAGATCCTTCCCCATGCCTGAGCTCATCATGAATTTTTTCCCAAGATAAGTTTTTGATACTAAAAAACTTTGTAGCTGCCTTAACTATAATTTTTATTTTTTCAGTTTTAGTTTTTGCTTGCTCTGAACAGTTTATGATGTATGCAAGAAAAGGAATCAACTTTTCTAATGTAACATTACACTGATTATTGTCTGTCATCCTTTTCCTTTCATAATTTATTTTCTGATCATTATCATTCTTTTTAACTTCTTTCACTGCTTCAGCGTAAGTAATTCTCTTATCAGTTTTAACTTTCTGGATTTCAGCTGCTTCTTTCCTTACCATGCACCCTGCATACGCTGCACTATGATTTCCACCACAGTTACAGCATTTAACAGGATTATCTCCACACTCACCATAAGGATGTTCACCTCCACACCTACCACACCTCTGTTTCCCTTTGCAAACATTTGCAGTATGTCCATATCTTTGACATTTGTAACATCTTAGAGGAGGTGGTATATAAGCTCTTACATTGAAACTCATGTAGCCAATCATCACTTTATCAGGCAGAACTCTACCTTTGAAATCCAGAAGAACAGATGCACTGTCCATTTTCTCCCCATTCCTAAAAGCCTGTAAACGTTTGATGCCCATAATCTCTCCTCCTCTTATTGTTTTCTTTAGCTCCTCCAAGTTTTCTCCTACCGGAATCCCTGATATTACTCCTTTCACTCCTCTTTCCTCCCCAACTACCTTTCTTTCTATCACTTCCCTTTTACACACCATTTGTAATTTTAGGGCCTTGTTCTTTTGTTCTGCATTTTTACAAATGATAAGTAAGCTTCCATCCCTCAGGATTTTAGCTAACTCCACGTCTCCAACAAATTTCTTTAGTCCATTCGACAAGGTGATAGGACTTACTCCACTCATATCCTGTCCAGCCTTAAATTTCAATATGACTTTACAGTCTTCCATCATAATTTTCTTTCTTGTCTCAATTCGTTCTTTCTCATCCTCAAGAGATCTTTTTCCAACATTTAATCCCTTTTTAATTTTATCTCTTCCCTCTCTTCTATTTCCTACCCTAGACCATTCTGTATCCATATTTTCATCTTCCGAACACCCCCCACTACAACCAGCCATTGTCTTGATCCACTCACAAACCAGATTATGCCAAAACCACTTTTAAATTCAACATATTACTCGCCAAACAATCTCTAGACCGCTGACTCATCTAAAACTACTATCCTGCCGTTCCCCATCTTCGGGTAGCCGATGAACTCTTTCCTTTTTCTTTTCTGGAATCCGCTTAAGTATCTATGGAAGCCCGTTTCCACCGCACAAAAAAAAAAAATCTGATGACAAGCGTATTGCATTTATCAAAGGAAAAGAAAAATCTGACAGCTTATCTCATATTTACGAGATCTTTTCTAATAATTATGAGATAAAGATCTTGTAATTATGAGATCTCATTTCGTAATCATGAGATCTTATCTATATATTTGGTATGTTTACTTGAGCCCATAATGTAGAATCTCTCACAAAACTGGTCTTCATGATTACTTATTAAGAATATCTGCATCTATTCCACTGAACAGTTCTCTGTACTCAGGTCTAACATGATATGCGTTGGAGTTCTGCTCCTATTTTTCACTTCATCGTTAAATCCATCTATAACCCTGGGATTAGTACTTGTGGAGTAAGCATGCAGCGATATGACCATACGCGAAAATCCGTCAACAGCTCTATTAATACAGATTCTGTTTGGTTTTAGTTTTTCATATGAATCAACATGCTGCATGTAGTTGGGATCTGGTCGTTTTAAACGATTCTGAAGCTGTCACGATCTGATGATGGTTCTGTTTTTCCATTTCCACCTGGTTATTTAGCTATTTATGTTGCATGCTTGCCTTCTGTCAGCGCCAGGTTATTTGAGCAGCTTGGTGAGATAAACTAGTGATCTATATCTTGTTCTGTTTTCCTGATTGTGACCTGTTTTTGCCCTGTGGATATGGAGTGATTTTTCTGCCATAAACGCTTTGAACTTTCCCACTGCCTGTCTCGCCTCGAATTATGGATCCAACGTTTTGAGGTCATCACAGAAGCCTCAGCTCTCCTTGCGGATTTAGGATTTTGAGAAGATATCGATGGACAGTGCTTTTCAGACGCATTCATTTACAACCATAAAGCAGCCCGTGCTGGTTTAATTGCTCCTGCAGGAAAAGTGTGAAGTCAGAGTGGGCTTCTTCGCCTAAAAAAATTCTAAGGACTTTACAATGCTGACAAATTCAAATTAATTCAGTCCGGAAACTCAGTATTTCACAATGTCGCATATCTAAAACGAAAAATTAGCAGATTAAATCTAACAACCCACTCATTGTTCATGTTTCATGTAGCGGAGATTAGCATTGACTGTCCTTCCAGATCTCCTAAATATGATATATTATCTCATAATTATGACATCTCATCTCGTAATTATGAGATAAGATCTCATAATATTGAGATCAGGATCTCATAATTATGAGATAATATCTCGTTATTATGAGAAAAGATGCATTAATTATGAGATAATATTTCGTTATTATGAGAAAAGATCTCGAGATACTGATCTCGTTATTATGAGATAACCTTTCACATTTTTTTTTATTTGGTGAATGCAACACACTTCCATACATTATAATGAGATACATTTTTTTTTACAGACTGGCGGAAACGGGCTTCCATAAAAATCAAAGCAGGGTTGTATGCCCTGTGTTATAAAAAAAAACAAAAACAAAAAAACACTCCAAGTAATCTCTTTCTGAAGCTTATATTCTAAACCTAACTTTCTTAAACCGAGCCATGTGAGGAAAAAACGTTTTCCAACGGGAATATTGTTTAAACGCCGCTTTCCCCTCACTTCTGCCAGACCGTCACCCTGCCAACTGTTAAGGAACGTACCGGATTCGCTTAGCACCAAGGGCTTATGGGTAACGTAGTCCTGCGTCAAACCGGCGTCACGTTGTGAATCCAGCATGGCAGCGAAACAGAAAAGGTTTGTGTTAAATATTCTTATGCTGAGCGAAACATGAAACGGTGGTTGTTTTAAATCTGGTTGTTAATCAAGATATACCGCTCTTAAAACCAGGCGTGTCATTTAGGAGTTTACAAGGAAGAGTTTTAGATAACTTTGCTATGATTTAACTATCCACGCTGCCAGCATGTAGCATGTATGCTAACACGCTTCCTTTTAATCACATTTTCTTTTTACTACTGTTTTATCACACAGATCTGGGACTAAATGTTTGATGAAAATTCAAACAAACCCGACATTTAAACTGCTGCTTTTTATTTATAACCACGTTTTGTTTGTTTTACTCCCTTGTTTTAAATTGTCCATCATCTGCATTCATCTTATCTACTGTAGGAAATTAGAGGACCTTAATGTGGACGAGTTCCTGGTCTCAGGATTTGAGTCTCCAGAGGAAGATGAATCTGAAGAAGAAACTCCAAAACAGAAGCAAAAGAAAGAAGCAAATCCTAAGATGTAAGATTTTTGCTGTAGTTATTATATAATAAAGCAATGTATTAGAAGTGTCTGTAGAAGCCCCTTAATTAATATGACCCATAATTATATGTTTAAAAAATGAAAGGAAAAAAAAAAGGTTCTAGGAGTATGCAACCCATTGCTATGAACAAACCTCTCCAACACATTTTTTTTCTGTATCATGTTAGCGGTACAAATGAAAAGAAGAAGGGAAAAGCCTCTGAGCATAAGGACCAGCTGTCCCGGTTAAAGAGCAAAGATCCAGAGTTCTACAAGTTTCTGGAAGATAACGACCAGTCCTTGCTCAATTTCGACGACACCGACAGCTCTGAGGATGAGGATGAAAATAAGTACCACAAGCTACCATCTCAACTAGAGGTAACCCAGCTTCTGCTTTGTGGATATCTGTAATGAAACCAAAGTGTATGTTGCTGAATCTGTTGGTTTTTTTTTTTTAATA